TTTCTGCTGGGATTTATTTATTTATCTTTTTAAAATCTGCTTACTGTAGAGGATGTGCACGTTACTAAGTGCACTTCACAGTCTGTGAAGTGGTTTGAAAAGTTAATTTAAAGCACGGCTTTAGCAAAGCATTTCTGTTCAAAGTATTGCCTGCTTGCAGATCAGCAACAAAGCCTCAGGTAACATCAGGGAGACCAATAATTAACTAGTATTGATTAATGATTCTCCTCTCCACTACGCAGGATTATCACCTGAGTGGCTTTAAATACACAGAAATGAGTCTGCTCTATAAATTTCACACCGTCTGACATGGGAAGTGGTCAACATTCGATGGGCAGTTTAACACCTAAAACCAGAGTTCTGATCAGAGTAACGTAATGTTTTTAACAGCCACAAATCAGCATGTACTTATATAGACTGACTGCATCAGTTAGTAGCTGAAAATAATCAATAACACTCTGAGCAAAACACGCTGCAATACGTTTATACATCAAGGTAAAACCACCAGTGTTTGTTTGCGCGGCGCTGCTGGTTGGTTTCGTTCTCACCGATAACGAGCTGCAAGGCTGACTGAGCATTTTTTCTCTTGACCGAAGCCTCGGACCCTCACCGAGACGCACACGTGTCATTCGCAGAGACTCGTAACCTACAAACGTTACAAGACTCTCGTGTGCGGGATTAATACTCACATTCATGTAAGCGTGGATACACGCGTGCCCTTGAGCTGCGCTGATGCAGAGAGACAGAGGTGTGTGTGTGTGTGTGTGTGTGTGTGTGTGTGTGTGTGTTTATTTCATGGGTGTTTTATTTCTAGGGCTCTGTCTCTGCAGTGTCCTCATTTTCCAGCTGACTGTCAGATCCTGCCTTGGCACTGAGGAGCAAGGTTTTCCTGGAACTAGTGAAGACTAACGGCCGGATGGCCTCTATGACACACATTCGGGATGTGTCTCATCGCCACATCTTTGTTTGTCCTCCTCCCTTTCCCCTGATATAACGTACATCTCTACCTGTTTTTACTCAGGCTGCACATTCAGAATGTCTCYTGGATATTTGTGTCTGTCTGATTGTTTTTAATACTATGTAGTAAAGTAAAAATATATCCCGACTTGTGTAGAACTAAGAAATGTATTTACAGACTGGGTCAGTTGGTCAGAATATTTTGGCAACACACGATTTGATTTGGATTCAGAGGACTCTGATGCATTTATTAAACATTTATTCATATTGAAACTATGGCTTCTTGTGCACAAAATGAAAAAAAAAACCTTTAATGACAAGCAGTTAGCATATACGCTAACTCAATATTAAAAACACCATAGAAAAGCTAACGAGATTAGCATTATGTATGTTACTGAAAACTTATGCACAAATCAAGGGTTTTAGCATAATTTCTGTAGACTGTCAAGTTTTGACATCTTCAGTTATTATTAACAGACATCTTCATGGCTCATTGAAGGAAATAATACACATCTGCTTAATACATCTGCACATCTGGCTGCATCATTCATGGTGAGCCAACAGGAATACAAAGTTAACTCTGAAATATCTCGCAGTTTTTGTTACTGGCTGAAAAAGCAATTGCTTTTTCTGTTAATGATAGCAATATGTGTTTAAATATAAGAAGCTGTTTACCTTGGGCGAAAAAGCACTTTTATTTTTTTTGTTTTTAAGACTTGAAATGCAGATTCTTGAGCCTTGCCTTAACTTGTTCAAAAAGTTGGCTGCTGCAGCTTGTAGATGTCACTCCGCTCTACCTGTGGACTTTTTTAACAAAATGATTCCAACTACAGTTTACGACCGTCATTTATAATATTTGGGTAAACGCAGATTAAAAATACATCAAGAAAGAGCTTGTCCGCTAAACGTATTAGTCGTGGAATTTTATGGCTTTGACYTTTATTAGCCACTGTGGAAAAAGTTTTGCCACTTCACAGAACTTAATTCTAAAAACTGTCACRTGAATAGTTGTCCTTTGTGATTTTTAGCTCCGCTGTTTAAATCTGCTCACCTCCAGTATTTGATTGAAACATTTTTTTTGTTTGTTTGTGAGATGGCGTGGAACGTATTGGTGGAATGTAGGTTTAGCTGGTTGAGTGAATCGTAGGAACAGTTTACTAAACAGTCGAGTCCTGCAGGCTGGTGCCATAATGTTGACTCAAGGTCAATGTTTAATCAGGGAATAAACAGAAACATCAAAGTCCAGGCCCAGCTATTGAACACTTTGCAATAATTGTAACAAAACACTGACGAGATTGTTTTTGTTTTGATTTCTCAAGGAAAAAAATTATCTTGCAAGATTGTGGCCCCCCCTAGTAACAATTTTTTTTTATCTGAAGTTTGTCTCAACTCCTCTTATACATTTTTAAGCAACTTGGTGGGAAATATTATCATGCACACACTCTACACAAACCACAAACTGTGCTGATAATGAGGTACTACACTGTTGCTTTATGAACCTATTACATACATCTGTTTAACTTGCAAATACTACTCTGTTTACAGCAAAAGAATATACAAATGTGTACTGGCTTTGATGAATACCCTTTTGTATCTCTTTTTCTGAATTGCCAACTGTATGAGCCTTTTATTATTTTATTATTTATGTAATAATAATCGTAGTAGCATTACGAACGAATCAGCTGCAGCCAGAAAGCGTTAATCTGCTTGTAGTGGTCAGTTGTTTCTGAAGGGATTTGCCATCGCAGCCAGAGCAGACTTTTTTGAAAGGGAGACAACAATGGGAGAGCATGATGTGTCCATCTGCAGCTGTGCAGGAAAGAATTTATAGTTGAAGATTTGGTTCAGTGTGTTTGGTTGTGGATCATGGCTCCCCGACCTAGTTTCCACTGCGAGCCTTTTGTCTTTTACAGTATTGTTGCCTGCAGCTACAAGTTGGATGTATGCTCGGTGGTTGTTGGTGCATACCTTCTTGGGTGGTCTCAATGTCCAGAATGACGGGCTGCTTCCAAACCACCAGAGCAGACATGTGGTTAAACCTAGCTATAAAGAAGAGTTTTTTGTTTACTAGAAGGATTTGATTTTTGTATCGTCTTTCTGTGACTTTGTTTGAGATTATTGTTTTGTGCGTGTGTGAAAGAATTCTTTAGGACATGTTAATAACTGTTCACTTCTTTCCTCTCATKTCTTCCGCCCTTAATGATAGCAGGGAGCAGCCCACACCATTGCTTCACTCTGGCCATTTCCTTTGTCTTCTCCTCCCTCCACTGCTCGTAATCTTCCTGCTCCTTACTTTCATGTTTTCTACTCCCTCCTTGTTTTTTCATTCGATTCTCTTTGCTTCAGTCTCTTTAACGCTTCAGGCCAGAGATCAAGGCAATGGCAGGAGAGACGGGCAAGTGGGTGGGGAGCAATGAGAACAGGACAGTGAAGTAGATGGAGTGACATTGAGCAAAATGTAACACTCGATTAAAAATAAACAGCGTCTGAGGTCGTAGTTTTTACTTTAGTTTAGCTCTGACTGCAGCTCAGCTCAGCCTGTAACGAGCAACACAACAGTTTGCTGGGCGAGAGGAAGTTGGTTTCTGTAGTAACTGGTGTCGACGCACTGGAGCCTCTTTCTTTGTGTTCGTCTCTAGGGCTCCGTTTTTAAATCTGCATCCAGATCCTGACTGTGGGAAACCTCAGGGAATAGAAAGTAGCTCGACCCTTATTTGTTTTGTTGGTGCTGAGTCAGCAGGGAGCAGATTCAGTTTCTGTAACTTTTATATTTTAACAAAGAAATTTGACTTTATTTACAAACATTTTCCTCCATAAAAATCCACTCAGATCTAAAATTACTGAAACATTTTTCTTCCCAGGCTACGCARCTTAAGCATGCTTCCTGAACTAAGTTTTTTTTTAGCTACTTTTATGCTACTAATAGCCAGTCTCTTGCTACTTTTGGCTTACCTTTTGTTGCTTTAATCTTTTAACCAATCTTTTGTTATATTTAGCTAACATTTTGCTACCTTTTATTTGTTATCTAACCTTTAGCAGCTTTTAGATAGCRTTTGGTTACTTTTGGCTAGTATTTAATATTTTTAGCTTTTAGTATTTTGCTTCTGGCTTGCCTTATTTTTTACAATTGGCGTCTAAACAGCCTTTTGCTACTTTCAGTTTTGCTAGTTTGAGCTCTCAGCTAAACTTTTGCTGCCTCTAATTAGTGTTTTGGTCTTAGTAACATTTTCCTACTATTAGCTAGCCTTTTGCTACTTGTAGCTTTATTTTAACCTTTTGCTGCTTTAAAGTTTTAGCTAGCCTTTTGTGTTTTTGGCTAGTAGCTAGCATTTTGCTTCTGGGTTGTATTGTTTGCAGTTTTTTGGCTTCTTGACAGCCTTATGCTACTTTCATTTAGCCCTTTTCAAGTTTGAGCTTTCAGCTAACCTTTTGCTTCTTCCAGCTAGTGTTCTGGACTTAGCTAAAACAAAATAATACTATTAGCTAGCMTTTGCTACTTGTAGCTTCCYTTTAACAGTTTGCAGCTTTTAGATAGCATTTGCTTATGTTTGAGTATTTTAATTTTTAAACTGTTATCATTTTCCTTCTTGCTAGCCGTTTGCTTGTTTTAGTAAACCTTTTGCTACTTTGAGCTTACATCAAACCTTTTCTGCTTCCAGGTAGTGTTCTGGTTTTAACTAACATTTTCTAAGCATTTTTGCTGTAGTTTTCATCTAAACATTTATCGTTTTTAGCTAGCCTTTGGTTACTTTTGGCTAGTAGCTAGCARTATGCTTCTGACTTTGTTTTATTTTCACTTCTGGTCAGCCTTTTGCTATTTTTAGCTAGCATTTTTAGCTTTTGTCAACGTTTTGCCACTAGTGTTCTGCTTCTTGTAGCTTCAGTGACTCAGTTTTAGCTTCATCAGTCATTCAGCCCTTAGTTTTTACAGTTTCACAGAGAAATCAGTTTCTGTAGTTCATTCAGATTTTAGTGCTTAGATCGTATAAATAATTTCACTGACGTCTTTCTTTACCGTGTCGTGTCTTCTTTGTTTCTGACAGTACTGGCATAAAGGATGTTTCAGCTGCGAGGTCTGCAAAATGACTCTAAACATGAAGAATTACAAAGGCTTCGAGAAGAGACCATACTGCAATGCGTAAGTTGTCAAATCTTTTATCTGAATATGTCATGTTTTTTGTTCAAACTGTTTAGCCTGCGCTACCAAAGACAGCTTTTGATTTGAAACGGGACTCGCTGAATATTTGTGAGATGTTGCAACCCAACGATGGCCCCTCTCTTCCTTTGCTGTTTATCTGCGACTCTTCCAGCTCCCCCTCAGAGGGAAGGGTGGTGTGGGAAAGTGCCTCCCTCCTCTCAGTGGGAATGGGGAGGGGGAGGCGCCATCAACAAAGGAAATTCCTGGAGTTCCTCCACACTGACAGAGGCGGACACTCTGAAACTAGCATGTTCCCTCATGCTTCAGTACATGCTAAAGGCTCACGAGGAATCTATGGAATCCTCTTTCTCTAATTTCATGTAATGATTTTTCTCCTCTGGGTTTGTTTTTAGGAGTTCTAAGGGAAAGTCGTGTCCTGATCTGCCTTTTTAAAGGCAGAAATATATCAAATGCTTGTGCCAAAAGAAAAAGTATCAAAAAWATAAAAGTAGCAGCATATTGGTAAAACTAGCTAAAAGCTAAAACAAGCAAATTATTGGCAGTAAAGTATCAAAAAGCTAAAATGTTTGAAGTAGAATTTAAAGTGCCTGTGACATGAATATCCTTTTTAAATACAAAAATTCAGAGGAAAATCTTCATATTTAAAAAACTTTACGTAYCYCGTGATTTTACCCATTTTGTCTCATAACTGACATATTTTCTTTTGATTTTGGCTCTGCCAAAATGTAACAGGAAGTGACATCAAAGGGGAACTCTTTAAGAAAAGGAATGCTCTAGTGTTTGTTTATTAAAACTATTAACTTTATCTCTTGTGACTCAATAAGCTAAAACAAATCAGATTCATCTACAGTCTGGGTTGTCATCCATTGTAGCAACGCTCTGTTCATGTTCAGACATTCCCCTTTGACATCACTTCCTGTTGCTTCACATGTGTTAACCTCAYCGGTGTGAATCTTTTTTTGCAACATGCTATCAATGTTTTATTTCCAAAAATGCGTTTGTGTTTATTACAAAAAAATTGATGTTACCTGAACTTTAAAAGCTAAACAAACATAAACAAGAAAACAGACGAATGCAGCTTTTTATATTGTGAGTTTTTTCAGAATATTTTTTCTGTGGAACAAGTATTTTTAATATTTTAATTTAACACAAAGACTGATGACTGAATTTCTTGGTACTTACTTTGTCATTGTTTCATCTGTTTTTAAGCTAATTTTGCATATATGATGTAATCAACTCCAAGAACTCCTAATTGGTTAGTCACTTTCTAATTGTAATGTTGAGTCACATTTCTTAAGAAAATCAGGCAATTTTCAATTTGAGTATCATATGGAGCTGTTGTTTAATAGAGCATGATGAAATAAAGGTCATTGACTTGTATCTTAACTAGATCTCAATGTTCACAAATATCTTTTACATTTACCAAAATACCTGTTTCTGATAGTTTAAGCCCACATTCTCGAAATGTTGTTTTTATAGCTTGTTTTGCAGACAAATGAGATCATGTGGAAAGTAATGTCATGGTTTAATATTAATACGTGCACAACTCTACTCAAGACAAAGTATTATTTACATGTTGATATAAATACTACATGCATACAGTATTTGTTGAGCAACTTGAATGCGACGTGCAGTTTAGCAGAGAAAAGCATGAAGCTTTTATTGGTACTTGCACACGCTTGCAATGAGCGCCTGAAGGCCTTACCTGCTGTATTTTCACATGATCTCACTGACGTTTGTCCAAGTTAACGCAGGTAAAACTTGTCATGTAGGAAACATGCTCAGTGTTTTTGGTGGATGTTCTGATGGCCTTGTGTTGTTTTTCCCAAGGAGCGAGGCTCTTCAGATGGTTTATTTAGCCTCTTTCTGTTTATTTAAAACAGGCCTTGTTAGAGTAAACACCCCTTTAAGAGGCGGCTGCTCAGGAGCTAAATGCAGGCTACTTTCTCTGCCATTATTCTGTGGATCATGACTCCATTATATTCGACCTTGGTAATTGATATAGGCGTAGTTTTGTTTTCACTGGATTCCCACCCTCTTCCCTGAGAGTTTCATTCTTGGATAGATGATACAKTAATCAGGGCGGTGTAGGAGACTGAAAAGGGGAGATAAGCAGACAAAAAAAAACTTTGCTTTCCCCCTGGAGACAGAGGGAGACGATGGTTTCTTAATGACTAACAGTTAGACGATGATTTGGTGTTTTATGAAATTCTGAAACGTCTTGATTTAGTGTCACATTCATTGTTTTGTTTTTGTGCATGTGACAAGTTTGGTTGGTACTGGGTGGTGCGAAATTAATCACGACTGATTGTGCATTTGGCTGATAACAAATATGTTGGTTTAATAGATGACAATTATCTTTACATGTTTTTGACTCTAAAGTGGTTACCGTYTTCTAAAGCTATACTTAAACCATCAATCTGTTAGCTCTGCATTATTGTTAGCTTAGCATTAGCATTATTCCCTCAGTAATATAATTTGTGTGCCCCTCAGTGACTCTCGGAACCGCCCACTTTGTTGGAATTTTTCAAARTCTGCGAGGCTTAGTTAAACTTGAAATACCTTCACCATATTTTAGTACTGAGGGAGACCACAATACCATCACATCTCCCAAAACCTACATGTGATGAATTACAGCTTGTGGTCATTTCTTAATGTGTCGTAAATGAGCATGGAAATACTCGGCTGGTTGTTCTCTGGTTTATGATGCAATATTTTTTGTCAAGTTTCCATCTTTACTGGAAAACTCGGTCCAAGRAGCGAATTACAAAATGAACTTTCCTCTGATTCATAAAGTGTCACAATCTGCTCATCATGTGTAGCAAATACTGTTTTTCTTCCCGCTTTAAACAGCTAAACTTGTAGATTTCACAGCTTGTTTTCCCTTGAARGTGGTGATTGAAACATGGAGAGGAAATCTTGCTGCTTAAATGTTGTATCACCAACTTTCCAGGTCTTCCAGGCGAGCCACAACCTCTCCTGGTTCCGCTACAAGCTGACCGGTCTCCTCTACAGTAGGCAGCTCGTCTGTGTGTGATTACACGTGGCCCCCCCTCTTTAACTCCCACAGTTTTGCCTCCCCCTCTATTTTTAGCACTCCTCCTTTGTGCATGGGTCACCAGCTCCTGTGTGAGACTTCCTACCTCATTAACGGCCTGACAGATAGACGAGTGTTCTTCTGAGTCACTCACACTCTGAGCTGCTTTGCATAGCAGCTCGCTGGCCCGTAAGTGCAGCAGCGGTTRCCAAAGACGTGTTGAAAATGATGCAAACACAGACGCTGATTGTAATCATGTGTGTTCAAAGTACACACCCAGCTGCCTCAAACAAGCTCCACGGAGGAAGCTGCTGTCCAGAAAACACCCAAATACAGCCAACAGTTTTTTAACACGTGTTTATTCTTTTTTTGAATCATGGCTGTACGAACTTGTTGTATAAAGTACCACAAAGTGATACTTGAGTAAACGCACAAGTATCTTACCAAAAAATTACTTTGGTAAAATTAAAGTCTCCTTTAGGAAAATTGAGTAAAACTCTTAAAGTATCTGATATTTTTTGTACTTAAGTATTAAAAGTAAAAGTATTGATTTAAAATGAGCAGTTAGATTTTTTTAGGAGGTGACCTCCCCTCCAAAAAATGCAGAAATGACTATCGTGTTAAAATAATTAATTTATGTTAAATTCACGATGCACTAGTCCAGCTGTTTCAGTTTATATACATATATCAAGGCTGCAGCCAAATGAAATAATATAATTCATGAAAACAAAAACTTTAAGTTTAGCTCTTTTATTTTAATGATTATGTCCTGCTGGAGTGTGACATGATTTGTTTGTGTACAAACTAATACGGTATCTGAGTTTTATATATTTATACTTCTCATTCAACCACAATTAAATTCACTCTATCTAGGAGGCACAATTTATATGGATATTATTTATTTTTTACAATAACAAACTGGAATGAAAATAAGCAAAAATGAAATAAAAGTAACGACTTTTTACTTCTTGCTAGGGCTGGGCGGTATGACCTCAAATTCATATCACGGTATAAATTGAATCRCTTCACAGTAARGGTATATATCGCGGTAGAAAATTATCATAAAAAGTAAAGATAATAAAATCTTTTGCAGAAAACTGTAATCTTAATCAAACCCAACATTTTTGCTTTAATCTGCCTGCCATACAATGAGCTTCTGCCTGAACTTATCAGCTGCTGCTCTGCCGCACGCTCATCTTCATCATCTTCATCATCYGAGCAGAAGCCGACTTTACATTAGCAAGTTGGATTTATGACTGAACCACGTCTTTTTTTTAATCATCTCTGTGGGTAACAAAACATAAACAAGTTTTTTTTCTCCGACAACTTGGGTGTAAACAAAACTACGGTTGTTAAAGCTTCACTACCGTGGACCAACTTTATCCTGTTTCTACTGTCAACCGCATACACCGCGCAGCCCCACTTCTTGCCTTTTTAAAAAATGTAAGGAGTAGAAAGTACAGATAACTGTGTGAAAATGTAAGAATTACAAAATAAAGTAGGTTGAAAAATAATTACTCAAGTAAAGTACAGATGCCCAAAAATTCTACTTAAGTACAGTAACAAAATATTTGTACTTAGTTACTTTACAACTTCTGCGAACTTGTCAGATTTTATGAAACTTTCAGAAAATAATAATCTACTGGTGCTTGCCYACACAAGCTGAGATTTAAACCAAACGTGCTTTGAGCATTACAAATAATTTCTTAAAACTTAAATCATCGTTGATGCTTAGGATCCATCATATCAAGGAAGCTGTAAACATATTGCTTAAATGGGTTATCCAAAAAAACACTTTTTTTTTAGGACATCCGGTATCCCAAGGCGTAGCAGGAAATATAGACCATATGAGGCGTTAGATGAGCCGATCGGGCTCCTCTTCTCCCTCTGGAGCTGTGCCATGTGTTCGTTCTGCCTTCAGGATCACACAGATCTGGCAGTCTTCATTAACTGTGGACCAAGAGCCTTCAGCGTGAAACAGACTGTTTAGGCACCACGATTTCTGCCGTCTTTAACATTCATTCAGAAGATCTGATGGGTTCAGACTGAATGAAAACTACGAGTGACTAAAGCACTTTAAAGRGACCTGGACTTATTTATGTTTTAGGAAGTCTCGATGTGCGTTACAGGGAAATTTAAAACATCATTCTCGCCTGACTCACTTCCTAGATATATCRAAGAGTCTTTTAAAGAAATGTTTGATAAATGTCCTCGAGCGGTGTCTGTCTGGAAGCTGCCTGTCGTCGTTTCAGACAGTATTTCTGCTGCATTGAATGAAGTTTGGCAGCGATGTGTTTGAGACAGAGAAAACCTTCAGAATCCGTTCTGAAGGGGACGGTCCGTGACATCATCCCTGCTGCCTCACTGACCTCGCTGCTGTCTGCTGCATGCTGTTCCTCTTCCTGATAATTCATAGCACTTCTCACAAGTAGCAGTGCTTTTTTTTCTGTTTTTTTTTCCACACCTGCTATGGCTCGCTTCCAACTTCTGGAGCCTCGAGGCTTCTTCCAATCCCACACACACAGTCTTTGTAGTATTTCCGCTCTTTCCAAGCTACCTTGGCGCTCACTGACGGAGCGTTGTGTGTTTTATACTGCCGTGCTTTTTGTCTACAGGTTTGCCTAGCTCAACCTCAGGACTACCTTGAATAATAAATGCCTCCACAGTGAAGCCGCAGACTGCACACTGCTTGATTTATGCAGTTTTTTTCTCTCTCTGTTTAAACTTGCAGAGTCTGAGTGGGCGCGGGAATCATAAAATCTCTTGTTTGTTTTTTGTTTTATTTGCAGACACTACCCCAAGACAAACTTCACCTGTGTGGCTGATACTCCAGAGAACCTCCGCCTCAAACAGCAGAGCAAGATGCAAAGCCAGGTATCTTTTAAAAAAACTATATGTAAAGTAATGGACCCAGCTCCATCTGTAACACTGACAAGAGGTTAAGAAGTTCCCAAACCTTTTCAAAGATCATTTACCTGGAACCATGAAACACTGCAGAAAGCTTCGTCTTCAAGACTGCTATTGTAAATATTTACAACATTCTGCAGAGTCACCAGTGAACAGAGGAACCAGTCTCACAAGAGCATAGAGTTAATTCATACTAGACTGAGCCCCGCCTATCCCATCTACTGTTAGCATCTGTTACAACACAGAGGAGAAAAAGCTGACAAAGCAACTATTCGGTTAACAGCAACTGGATCCCTGTCATAAATAATTAAATAAATTTATTGTAAATGCATTTCAAAAAATTTTTTTCATTCAACAACTATGTAGAAAAATATAAAATTTATAAGTAACTATGGTCTTAACCAAACCTGAAGTCAGTCAATAACTTACACTTTTTAGCAAGTTGAATGATTGACTTCAACTAATAAAGTATATTTATTATATCTTACCTGTCATAAATCATTAAAAAAATTTACCAGTTGACACTAATGTTCACTGCTTACCGCTTTAGGATGAAACTTTATTTAWATTAGCTAACCATCTTCTCAACAGGTCGAGTTTGTCTAATAGAAACTTTAAAATAGTTAATAAATATTATTTTACACTCTGTAAATATTACATGAATCAGAGGCAAAACCAGCTGTAATGTTTAATCATTTGTGTTTAAATTGTAGCATGATTCAGCAGAGTGCTGCTACTAGCTAATATCTGCTAACTAACTCAATAATAAACAGTGATTACGTTGGTTTTATAAGCTTATTTTAATTTTAAACTGTTACATTATTAATGAGACGTTTTCCTGWTTGTCTTCTGTTGCTAAACTCATAACACACACAGCTTTCTGGTGTTTTTATACATTATATAGCTTATATACACTCTAAATTGTTAATATCATATTGTTTGCTGTGTTGCCAACATGTACAGTAATGGTAAATCCAGCCTTGACGTGGGGSGGTGGCTGCTCAGGCAGGTCCTATGTGTGGCCAAGAATGCCGTTCTGCAAGTCCTGCACACAAAAGTAGGCTGTGGTTTTCAAAACTCTGCATCACAGCTCAGAGAACGTACCTATTTTTGGCAACTTTGAGTCACCAACTCTAACATTAAGGGTTTCAGCCATGTTTGTTTTTGTTTTTAGCCCATATTGAATCCTGACAATGCACGGGCTCAGTGGGTAAAAACATATTTATGGCTCCAAACTGGTGTGGTTTCACTTCTCTTAAATCACGCCCTCACTTCCTGAGTACGTTTCTTGGTATTCAAGGAATTTGTCTGTGAATGGCATGGCTCCATAAACTATGGTTAAAAAATCCATTTCAGCTGGTTTCAACTTTACGATGCAGACAGCGGGACGAGGACGGCGGCAGCAGAAACAGGAAGTGATTCATGGGCAGACGCTAAAGGAGGTGCCGGGTTTAGGAAGGAGGTTTTCTGATAGGAGGCTTATCACAGACTGATCCAAATGTCATCAAACATAACAGATGAGGTGTGGGGTGTGTACAGAAAGACTTTAATGAACTGAGGGGTGGGGGTGATGTTTGTTTGGGGGGACAGATGGTGTTTTTGTTGGTGGACTGTGTATTTACACACATGGACAGAATTATTGGTACCTCCTCATTTAATAAAAGAAAAACCCACAAAAGTCACAGAAATAACTTGAATTTGACAAAAGTAATAATAAATAAAAATTCTATAAAATGAAAGTCAGACATTGCTTTTCAGCCATGCTTCAACAGATTGTGTTTTAAAATAAAACTCATGAAACAGGCCTGGTCAGAAATGATGGTACCCCTGAAAATAGTGTGACCAAAGGGACATGTTAAATCTTTTGTGTCCACTAATTAGCATCACGGGTGTCTACAATCTTGTAATCAGTCATAGAGCCACAGATACTCACTGTGCTGTTTGGTGATGAGTGGACCTCACTCAACAGAAAGAAAATTATAGACAAGCATGTTAAAGGTAAAAGTTATAAGACCATCTCCAAGCAGCTTGATGTTCCTGTAACTATAGTTGCACATAGTATGCAGAAATTTAAAATCCATTGGACTGTAGCCAACCTCCCTGGATGACAAATCAAAGAGATGGATAATATGAATAATAAAGTCCAGAACTTCTTAAGAGATTAAAGGTGAACTTCAAGCTCAAGGAACATCAGTAGCTATGTTTACATGTGCAAAATTCTTCGAGCGGATTGATTAGTTGCTAACATTCCCTAAAAAAATAAATAAATAAATAAACACAGAAAAAAGTTATACTTCTGTCATGAAGATAAACAAACATCTTCTGAGCTCAGAATGGACCTGCGACAGGTTTTAATAATGGTGGAGACGTTACTGCACTCTGGTTGAGCTACAGGTGACGCGCTGATTTTTTATTTTTTATTTTTTTGGCGAAGCGGCGCAGTTTGTGTGTTTTCCTTCTTTATTGAATGAGAAAACTGGAGGAAAAGTTCTGTGCTGCTGGAAACAGCGCTGCTATCCCTCCCTCCACAGTCAGGTCAGTTTTCCACAATCAGAATAAGATGATCAGATTAAGTGTTTACATGCACGTCGTTCGGATTATCAATCGGCATAACCCACCCCTCTCATTCCGATTACAAATTCATTCGGACTGAGCTGAATCGTGTCAGGATAATCTGAATGGGGTGTTTACATGACACATTTTTATTCCGAACGGCCGTTTAATCTGACTACTTATGTCCATGTAAACGTAGCTGGTGTCAGATCACACCATCCGTTGTTTGAGCCAAAGTGGACTTGATGGGAGATGGCCAAGGAGGACACCAAGTCACGATAAAGCCAAACTACATGTTGACAAGCCACAAAGCTACTGGGACAATGTCCTATGGACAGATGAGACAAAAGTACTTTTTGGCAAGGCACATCAGCTCTACTGTATGTTCACAGAGGGAAAAATGAAGCCTATCGAGAAAAGATCACTGTCTCTACTGTGAAACATGGAGGAGGTCTGTTATGTTCTGGGCTGCTTTGCTGCATCTGGCACAGGGTGTCCTGAATCTGTGCAGGGTACAATGAAATCTCGAGACTATCAAGATGTGCTGCCCGATGTCAGAAAGCTTGGTCTCAGCAGGTCATGGGTCTTCAACAGGATAATGACCCAAAACAGCTAAAAACACCCAGAGTGGCTCAGAGGAAAACATCAGACTATTCTGATGTGGTCTTCTACGATCCTGACCTAAATCCTGTTGAGCATCATTAGGAGCTAAAACATGCCGTCTGAAAAACCTTCAAACCTGAGACAACTGGAGCAGTTTGTTCATGAGGAGTGAATCAAAATATCTGCTGAGAGATGAAGTCTCACAGTTGCACTGTTTTTTGCACTGACTTATTCAAAAGGTTTTGCAACAAAATATTAAGTTAAGGGTACCATCATTTCTGTCCAGGCGTGTTTCATGAGTTTTGTTTATTTTTCATTCTGTTGAAGCACGGTTGAAAAGCAATGTCTGACTTTCATTTGTTCATTTTCATAGAATTTTTATTTAATAATTGTCAGATTCTAGTTATTTCTGTAAACATTGTGGGTTTTTCTTTCATTAAATCAGGGGCACCAACAATTATGTCCATGTGTGTAAACAACCCGCAACAAAAAACATCCATGAATAAACAGTTATCCAGTTTCTGTCACGATCACCAACCAGTGGACGTGTTTTACTGAAACTCTCATAAAATAAGTTAACGAACACCAACGACTACAACACGGTCCGTTTTACAGATATWGAGCTAAACTTCGGTTTCTTAGCACCAAAGTTAGACCTAAACAAATATATCAGATATGGGAAAGACAGCGGGTGTTTGCATTCTTCGAAAGAATTTGTTTTTGTGTCCAAACCAGGTCCTCGAGGGTCGCTATCCTGCATGTTTTACAGGTTTCTCTGCTCCGGCACACCTGATTTGAATAAACGGAGGATTTAACCTGAAGAGATAATCCAACCTTTGTTTCAGGTGTGTTGGGGCGGGGAAGCAGGTAGAACGTGCAGGACAGCGGCCCTGCAGGACCAGGACTGGACACCCTAAGAATCAGAGGTTACTTTAAAGAGTAACTTACCCCAAAATTAACTTTTTTTTAGCTGATAAACTGTCTAGAATGTGTCTAAAATGTTATATAGTACTGTTTCTTTGCTAATTTTGATGTTTTTGTGGGTATTTGTTCAAATCTGTGATATTTGAACCCGTTCTCACTCCCAAGT